TGAACTGTCAGAATATTACAGATGCTATTTTTATAAATACATTTCTGAAAAAATTGACCCCAGAAGACATACTAACATGAAAGGAAAAAAATCTCATGGGGCCTTAACCACATAGAACTGAAGGCAATTCTATAGAATGTTGGCAGTGGAACAAATTGACTTTTTCACAGAGAAACCTACTCAAATTGGTTAGCTAATATCAATATCAAGTGACCAGCTATGAACTCATATGAAAAGAAATATCATTATATGGACTGAGAGGCTGTATTTACATGCTTAAGAAAATGTATGGGTATATGTAGCAATGATTAAAGATAGAGAAGCCCTGTATTTTACAGAGAGCAAGAAGTTCTTTAAGAGAAGGGTTGGAAGCAGGGAAATGAACATATGTAATTCATTTTAATTTTTAAAAATAATGTAAATAAAAACTCTTAAATGACTTAGGAAACTAAAATATAATTGTATCAAGCATTTTTTCTTCCTCCAAGCACTCCCATGTTCATATTTTATCTTCTTCCTATATTAATGATCTTCTTTGCTTTTCTTTGACTTATTATGTTAATAATATGTAACTAATTATATAATATAATACACATTATATAATATATTTTTGTGTATTATATTAATATATTAGTAATAATAATTTGCATTTTATTACATTGCTAATTATATAATAGACTGTAAATCATACAATATAAATATATATTCCATAGATATAAATTAATCCAGGCTTAGAAAAATAAATTTCATGTTATCCCTTTTCCATTCTTAATATTTTATATAGATACATACAATTATATATGTACAGTTGATAGGAATGTAGGAAAACAAAGAGACATACTAGATGCTAGCATTCAGAGATGAAAAATGGTCTGGTGAACAGGTCTGGATGAAATATGCTCAAGGAGTCTCAGGCTTTATATGAAAAACTTCTTATATCATATATCACTATATAGTGCCAACTTTAAAGATTAATACTTTCTACCTGATATATATTTAACAGATTTGCATGTAAAATTTACATATAACAGCTTTAAGCATTTTGTATTCAATGTGAAATATAGTAGTATTAAAAAATAGACCTTTTAAGGTTTTAAAAAGTAAAGATTTACAAAAAGTATATGTTTTATTAGGAAGACTACAAACAAACATTATACCCTCGGAAACATATACAAACAAGACATATTTGAATTTATATAACTCATACAATACAAAAAGTTTATTAATTAATTAACCAATCAGGATATACAAGTGCTTGTATTTGGTAACTGAAGGACATTTTCTTTTGTCTCTGCAGAATCAACAAAACTTCCACATAAAATTGACCTTTCTACTTGGAGGTAAACTATAGACAAGGATGGAACAGATTGGCAGATCATTTGCTCCTCATGGAATATTCTATACTTCTTTAATAAACTCTTTATCATATTCTCATTAATTTTTGTATAAAGCTTGCACCCTGGATATTGGCTGGACAGATTGGTTTCAGTTCATCCAACTGAGATTGGATCAAATTTGAGAGGGTACAACACTCGTTGGACTCAATTAATTCTAAAGAGTATCTAATGTGCTCCCAGTGGCATACACATTTGAATGAAACACTTTAAATAAGGTTAACACTTTGTAGTTTATTAGATATTCCAAGAAAATCATGTTGCTACTTTAAAAGTAGGATCTTTGAACATGGCTGGCAATGAAGGCTGACTGAGAAGCCAAAGACAATGGCGCTGGGTTTTTATTCTACTGCATGGACTGACTTTGTGGGAGCCTGGTTTGTTTGGATGCTCACCTTTATAGACCTGTATGGAGGGGGGAGGACCTTGGACTTCCCACAGGGAAGGGAACCCTGACTGCTCTTAGCACTAGAGGGGAAGGAGGAGGTGGGGAGGGGGAGGGAAAAGGGAAACAGGGAAGAGGTGGAAATTTTTAATAAATAAATAAATTAATAAAAAAGAAATAAACTTGAAAAAAAAGTAGGATCTTAGGCCAGACCTTGATGGAGCATTTTTTTAATCCCCAGGCAGATCTCTGTTAGTTCGAGGCCAGCCTGGTCTATAGTTTATGGGAAAGCTCCAAATCTACCAAGAAATCCTGTCTTGAAAAATAAATATAATACCATCTTAAAAAAGCATCCCTTTTGGTTCTACCATAGCTGCACCTCAGCAAATGCTGCTGTTTTGGATGGTGTACCACTAATCCCCAAAGATGACTCTTGCATTCACTTGAAATTCTGCTTGAGACTCTTCTATGGTGAAAGTATTTCTGACAGAAAAACTAGTAATTTCAACTTAAATTGAATTCTTCCATTTGAAAATAATTAGATCGTTCTTGAAACTTAAGAAACTCGGTAGCTTTTTGAATCTCTCAAACTTATTTTAATGTGTGAAAAAAAATTGTATTGACTAGGCAAGATACAACCATCTTAAATCTTTAAGCAACCCAATATATTCACCTATGCAGATCCGTTAATAATGATGGGTTTTCTACTGCGCTATGGAAGAAAGATAGAGTTGGTGATATCCTCAGAACGCTCAGTCAACAACTTCCACCATTCTCATTGAGGATGTGTCTGCCCTACTAAAACTGAAAAATGTTATAAGATCTTCCTTGCTTTCATTGTCTTCTGCATTAACTTAAAGGAGGAATGTGATATTGAAACACTGTTTTCTTTCATTTTCCTTGTTTATAATAGATAAATTCAGGTATTCTGTGTATAGATGTGCACTAAAAGTTTCAAAAGAATCAGCTTTCATAGCACCTCATATGCACTGAAAAAATCTGCATAAACAGAATCTGACATACAACTGAATAAGGTTACAACAAAAATTTTCCATTTTCACAGTTTCTAATCCTATATAATCTGTGTAGTATTTAAAAATAATGCTAATTTAAAAACTTGGCTCTTTTTACTTATTTTTATTAAGAACATTCATATGGGGTTTTTTTGTCAAATAATTGAAAAGCATTCTTCAAATGATCTTCAAATCCACATTGGGATTGCCTTTTCCCATTGTTCATGAAGTTTCTTATTTTGTGTCTTTGAAAGTGCAATTTACAACATCTATTAAATTCTGTACATCATCCCCTGGTGAGCAAAATATCTCCTTTAATTGTCAATTTGACAGAGATGTCAGACTCCTTAAAAACTATGGCAGATATCTCATTTTGTGCCTTTATGTAATGTCTTATGTTTCTTTTGGTCAGATTTTCCTATCTGGAAGCAAGTATACCAGCATACATTGTGCTCTTAATATTTAACTGTATGTGCAGGACACTAGGATGCTAAGAAATTTAAGACACTAAAAACAAATGAAGATACCACATAATGAGAAGACTTCCAGTGTTGATGAATTCATAGTTTTAATATTGTGAAGATGGTCATAATACTAAAAGCAATCCACAATTCAATAAAATCTGCAACAGAATTCACTACTACAGTGTTTTATAAAAATTGAAAACCCATAAGTACACCTTCTACATACGTGGTTATGTTAAATAACTTAAATAAATATTGGTTTGGGTTTTGGGTAGAATTTTGAACAACATCTGAAGCTGTCTTAAAAACTTTGACAAATTAGTGCAACTTACAAAAGAGGTGACTATTATAAAATAAAATATTTATAAACTCTGAAGTGTTGAAGATGGCCTTGTCATGAAATAATCATCATTAACACAAGATATAATTCATATGTGAGTAAAAATAAACACCCCTTTCTTACTAATATGTGGAATTTCCCTTTTTAGAGCTGATATGTTTGACATATTTCTCAGAAAACTGCTACAGGGCCTGAGATAATGGCTCAGTGAGTAAGTCCTTGCAGCTCAAGTGTGGGAATGTGAGTTCAAATCACCAGAATCCATACAAAGCTTTGTGTGCAAGATCAAAACGGTCATAGCAATATTCTGAAACTGAGAGGAGAGGTGAATGCTTAGAAGTGAATGTGGTATTAGCAGGGAAAACTATCTTTGAACAACAAAAAAAAAGCTATCCCCAAAACAAGTCGGAAAAAGAATACTGACATCCAAGCCTTCCTCAGATCTTCATTGGTTCTTTGTGACACACACAAACACACACACACACACAGACACAAACATCTTTCTTTCTGCATCTCTCTCTTAACTCAAACATACTAGAAACAACAAATGTATTAAAATAATTTTATTTAAATTATCACTAATTACATTGTAATTCTTCTTGTTGTTATATGTATAATATACCAATATGTCTATGGTTATGTTAAAAGTTCTTCATTAAAATTGCATTGTAAAAGGAAAAAGTTTAAGACTCTCTGATCTAGTACATGGTTGAGTGAGTAGAGTCTATGATTATGTAACTCATATTTTTTGATTATCTTTGGACAACTTGACACAAACTAAGTCACCCAGAAAGACAGAACCTCAGCTGAGGGATTGTTTCCTCTAGATTGGCCTGTGAATGTGAATAGGGAGGCAATTTCGTTGTACATGATTTATATCAGAGTGTCCAGCCCATTGTAAGATGCAGTAATCCTGGGCAGGTGTAAGCAAAGCAAACCTCTGAAAACAAACCACTGAGAAGCATTCCTCTATTTTCTCTGCTTCAGCTCCACTTCCACATTCTTTCCTTCACTTCTATAACTGATAGGCTGTAAGCTGTATTTCAGAGAAACCATTCCCCTCCTCCAAGTTGCTTTTGGCCTGTGTTTTATCAGAAAAATGGAGAAGCATCTTTTCATTGCTTAAGACCAGAGAATAGTTTCTTTCTGTGGTTTCTATTCACTAATTTCAGTCTCATAATTTGATGAAAAACAGATAGAAGTTTTGTTTTATCATTATATATACTCATTTTAGCACATCATGCTGAATCTTAAGTTTCTCTGACTGGTAATATTTTCCTTCAGTTCCATAAATCAAAAACAATTTAAAACATTTTCATAGAAGAAACATGAAATACAGAGATGCCAAACAAATGTGTTCACAAATTAAAAACTATACAGGAACTCAAAAGTGCAGCCATGAAGATATTGAACACAGTGAAACCTTCCACCTTGACAAGGTTTTTCTTAGGGCAACTTTAACATCTTTATTTCTCAAACTGTAGATTAAGGGATTCATCATAGGAACTACATTGGTATAAAAAACAGAAGAGATTTTGGCTCCATCCACAGATTCAACAGAGGAAGATTTGAAATACATAAATGCACCTGGACCAAAAAACAGAGAAAGAGCAATGATATGGGAACTGCAAGTGCTAAAGGCTTTGGACCTGCTCTCAGAGGAACTGATACGGAAGATGCTTGAAAGGATGAAACCATATGAGATAAAAATGATAGGAGTGGGAACAATGATGTTGATGATGACTACAACATAAGCTACAAGCTGATTAACATAGGTGCTAGTACAGGAAAGCTGGAGCAATGGGAGGATGTCACAGAAATAGTGGTTGATGGTGTTTGCACTACAGAAGGTCAATCTCAGCATGCATACAGTGTGAGCAACAGCATCAGAAAATGCCATCAAATATGAACCAAGCATTAGATTTAAACAGACTTGAGGGGACATGACAACATTATACAAAAGTGGATTACAGATAGCCACATAGCGATCATAGGCCATTGAAGTCAGCACATAGCATTCAGAAACAACAAAAAAACAGAAGAAATAGAGCTGAGTCATACATTGCATATAGGAAATGACATTCCTTCTTAATATGAAGTTCATCAACATTTTTGGAGTTAACACAGAAGAATAACAAAAGTCTATGAAGGACAAGTTAAAAAGGAAAAAATACATAGGTGTGTGAAGATGTGAATTCAGCAAAACTAGAATCATCAAACCCAAATTTCCCAGTGCAGTGACCATATACACTGCTAGAAAGACAAAGAACAGTGGCATTTGGAGATCAGGCTGGTCTGTTAATCCTACCAGAATGAATTCAGTCACCAAAGAGATATTTACTGCATCCATTCTTCTCTATGACAATCTGTAGACTCAAGGAAAAAAAGTTATATTAGGCGATGATCCACACTAGACATAAATCCTCATCAACTGTGATTTATATTCCAAAAATGTTTTTCCTAGACCCAAATGTTTATGCAGAATCAATTGTTAAAATCACAAGCAAATTTTACAGTCATAATGCCAGCAGTATCAAATTTCAATATTATTTCTTGATAAGAAAATGCATGGAAACATGCATTTCATGCATGGATGAAGAAGAAGAATAGAGGAATAAGAATGAGTCAACCTTCACCCACCGAATTTGTTCTTTACTAGAGTTCTCTTTACATCAGTGAACCCTGAAGTAGAAGTCTGGGCATGCCAGAGCTTGCTTCTGCTGCTACAGAGTTTACTCTTCTATGGCGTGAATTATAAGCATGTGTATAAAATAAAACTAAAAAAAACAAGATTGATATATCTTCTGTACATGTCATAGAGTCATGAATCCTGAAGATTTGAGTTCTGCCCATGCAAATGAACCTTAATAGAGATGCTGAAATTCCAATAGCCGTCAACACCTCTTATCACTCTCTGATTCACAAATACTATCTTCTGCTACTTTCACTTAACCTCAAGTGTATAGAATAGGGAAGAAACAGAATTTCAAAAGAAGACCATCCTATATTAGGAAACCTATTCCTATGCCTGGAATCCATAATCCATAGTCTCTCTCTCTCTCTCTCTCTCTTTCTCGTTTGTTGTTTTCTTCTTCTCTGGTTCTTCTCTCATGCAATGCCTCCAAAACATACTCATACAACAACCCAACCCTCTACTCTTCTACTCTTTCCAGCTCTCCTATACCTCCCTCTTCCCTTGATCTATGTCCCCTGTGTTTACCTTCAGAGAGGAGCAAGCCTCCAAGAGACAAAAACAAACATGACAAAATAAGATACAATGATACAAGGCAAAAGCCATCATATTGAGAATGGACAAGGTAACCCAAAATGAGGAAAAGAGAACCAAGAGCAGGCAAAAGAGTCAGAAATACTCCCAATCCCTTTGCTAGAAATCCCAATCCAAACCTTGAAGATCTTTTGTGTTCCAATTTATTCCTATTTATCTTGTAGTAATATTTAAGGTTCCAAGAATTCATATCTTATTATTCTAGCAAGATATAGTCAGGACTTAATGCCTGAAATTTTCTGGAATGATTTCTGAATTTAAAATAAAATTATTTGAGATTAATACTTCAAGTCTTTACTCAAAGAAGAAAAAAACTGATCTGTACTATCATCACGCAGCCAGATGAGAAGGCTCTAAAGATTTTATGTGAGTTTCCCTGTAGAATACTTTGGCTTATAATCAGAGTGGCAGTGTGCCTGCCTCTTCCCCAAAGGTGAGCATTCAATTTAATAAGGAACTTGGGAATTATGTAATACTCCAGATGATAATCTGTCTTTAGATCTTGAGGGATTCAAAATTAGTCTTGTATTTTCTCTTCACTCTGTGGTTTCATTCCCCAGTGGATGTAAAATGACAAATTCTCATCTCCCTAATTATCTCAGCATCTGTAAGAAACCTATGACTTGCATTCCTTTCTGCATTTAAATGAGAATTGTCCACACTGTACTCTTTGCTTCCCAAGTTCTGTATCTGGTAGGGGTAGAGTGCTTTAGTATGTCACCTTCAGTATTGAGTCACATGAAACACAACAGGAGATTCTTCTAATGACTTATATATCTTGAGTCATTGTTACTTATAAAACACTAAAAATTTCTATTTGAATATCCTGTTAGGCCAGTGAGTCTTATTTTTTCATTTTTTTCATACTGCCATTCTGAAAAAAAAATTTTTTTCACTGTTAGATGCAGTATTAGTTATTTTCTTGTTGGTGTGTTAAATGCCTGACAGAAGCAGATCGAAAAATGCTTTATTTGGGATTATTGCCTGTGGATATATCCCATCATGGTAGGAAAGCTAACACAACAGGTATCTTTCTTTGTGAATTTACAAAGAATCCACATTCAAGACTCACAGATAAGAATTTCACACTTGGGATTCTTTATTCACTATCTTTAATGTGCCTTCTCAGATCTCCATCGTTGGGAACTAAACACTTTACTGAAAGTTACCTCTCTGGCTATAGTATTTTATTGTTTTTAATATTCTGTTATCTAGACTTATTTTATTAATTTCCTTTTAGACTATTCATTGTTAATACATGAAAATTCAATTTTTAGTGTTGATAAATATTTTATGAAATTTCCTTTCTAATTTCATGTATTTTTGTTGAATCATTACGATTTTCTCTATACTCTCTGAGAAAAAAATATCATTATTCTTCATGTTTTCTAGTATGGTGTGTTTTGTGTATTTTCCTTATCTAGTGGCCCCATCAATAACAACTTGAAATTTGTGGGTAAATGGAGGAATCAAGAAAAAAATATTGAGTGAGGTAAAATCGATGCAGAAAGACAAATATAATATTTACTCACTCATAAGTGGCTTCTAGACATAAAGCAAAGAAAAACCAGCCTACAACTCATAACCCCAGAGAACCTAGGCAACAAAGAAGACACTAAGAAAGACATATATGGATCTGCATAAGAAAGAGAAAAAGACAAGATCTCCATAGTAAATTGAGAGCATGAGGGTCACAGGAGAGGATAGAAGAGGAGGGAAAAGAAGAAAAGGGACAGATAATAATGTATAACTTAATAAAAATTAATAATGAAAAGAACTACTACCAGCTCGAGCAGTAGCTCAGAGTGGTAGGAGCGCCTAACGCTGTGTGCCGGTGACAAGAGTCGCGGGTTAGAATCCCGCCTGCGACTGACATGTCATCGATAGTCATGATGAATCATATGATCAATATGATAAATCGATGATAAATCTGGCATATCGCTGCCAATTAATCGGAAAAAAAGTGTTTTTTTTTTTTAAAAAGAACTACTTACACTGTGTTGAACAAAGAGAGCTAAAGTAGAGGGTGGAGATGCAGCTCAGTGGCTAATAGCACTTTTAGAAGACCAGGGTTTGGTGCCTAGCACCCAAGACAAGTGACTCACAGTTGATTTTAACTCCAGATTCAGGAGATACTATGTGATATTCTGAATTCTACCAGCAACCTCCCCAACATTTTCATAAACACACAGCCACACAGACACAAAAAATTATAAAGGAAAGGGATGAAGTATTTGGTTGATTTGGAGAGAGGACAGGGAAGAAGGAAATGATATAACCTCAAAAAATAAAATAAAATAAATACATATGGCTTAATAATTCTAAGAGTAGGCCATGATTACATGAGTGGGAAAAACAAGTATAGTCACAGGCTCTGGGCAAACTACCTCAGTCTCCAAGTTGAAAACAGAGGCTGACCCATCACCACAAGGGGATGGGCACTATTATGGGCAACAAATGTATGTTGTGTTATGGTAGAGAGAGAAACTGAGAGAGAGAGAGAGAGAGAGACAGAGAGAGAGAGAGAGAGAGAGAGACAGAGAGACAGAGAGAGAGAGAGAGAGAATGGTTCATTTCCTGCTGAAGGAGGCATATCTGAAGAAGTGAAAGTGGTGAGGAGAGGGTTGAGATTGATGGTTTTATTGCTACTCAAGATTATGTTGATGTCAGTACATGGGATACTGTTGATGCCCATGTGTGGGTTCATGGCACTGATGCAGACACAGTCTGTGTTGGTGTTCTTGGCTCCTAATATCATGAAGGCCTAGAGGACAGGGCTATAGAAAAGTTGCCCTCACCCTTACTGGCTGCAACACTAGGGAGAACTGGTCCTGCCACTCACCTGCTGAAGCACTTAGAAGAGAGGGTCCTATACCACACCTCATCTGGCCAACACAATAGAGTTGACACTGTTCGTGGGATCATGGGTAAGCTGGCCCTGAGGGTGTGAGAATAGGAGACCAGGCCATGCGCCTCTCATCTGCCATGTGGTGGCATGGGTGATGGAAATATGGCCTCTTCTCCTTATCTCTAGTTACCTGCAGCAGATAGGGGACCTGACCCAACCCATCACCAGATGCAGCAATTGGGAGAATGGTTTCTACTCCTCACCTGAACAGCATAGCAGAGTTGATCCTGTAGATAGGGACATGACAAGAAAGCCCTTAGGGTATTAGAGGGATATAGCTGGTACTGCCTCTTTCATCCACAGTATGGTGGTGGGGAGTGAGGGAAAGAAGCCACATTTCCTTTCACCTACTACCTCCAACAGACCAGGGTACTGACCCTCCCCTTAACCAGCTGCAACACTCAGAAAATTGGGCCCTGTACCTCATCTGGGCAGCATAGCATAGCTGACCCTGTTGACAGGGACATAGGTAAGCTAATCCCAAGAACATGAGTAAAAAAGATCTGGTCACAATCCTCATCTGCCATATGGTCCTGTTGTGGAGGTCCCCTCTGTATTCTGTGATTATTATAAATGAATTAAAAAAAACTGCTTCAGACCTATAGCAGGGCAGAACTTAGAAAGGCAGGGAAAGCTAGGGTGAGTGCTGGGAGGAAGGGTGGAGTCAGAGAGAAACCATAGAGCCACTGGAGACAGACATGTTAAAAATTTTGCTAGTAGGCCATGACCTTGTGGTTATGCACAGATTACTAGAAATGGGTTAAATTAAGAAGTAAGAGTTAGCCAATAAGAAGTTAGAGCTAATGGACCAATCAGTGTTTTAATTAATACAGTTTCTGTGTGATTATTTTGCGTCTAAGCTAGCCAGGCAGCCAGGAAACAACAAGCGACCTTGCAAGTCCTTGCAACAAATTGACACCCATGTGAACAACTAAAATCCATGTAAAACCTGAAAAAGCTTGAAAAGAAATTATAGACACAAAAATACAGAGTTTAACACAGCTTCTTGCTGTTTGCCGGTGGCATGCCACAGCTGCCTTAAGAGAGATTTTCCTCATTATGCCAGATCCACCATGCTGCACTGGGCAGGCAAGCAGAAATTATTAATGGCAAAACTTAAGTTTTAAGAAGCACTTAGCATTTTAAATAGTGCTCCTGGACAATAAGGAATTACAGATACGCAATAAGGACAAACCAAGATGAGTCATAATGTTGGATAAATGC